AAAGGTCTGATTCCCTTTCTAAAATAATTGAATCAGTGGTGCCTTCTAAAATAATGAAACAACAGTCTTACCTTTGGAAAAGGACTATAAACTTCTTAAAGAATTGTTAAGTTACTCTATTGGTTTAACCTTAAGGAAACCAGGAGCCTCCAGTAACAGCATCCTTCTATGTTAAGTCCTAATTCCTTTAGAAACCCAAATTCAATAACATTAATTGTATATCAATTTGGTGATCCTGATTAATTTCAAGTATAAGACACTCCCCAATACAGGTTATGCTACTTGGGTTGATCTCATTGCATATTTCCTATAAGAAATATACATGTTTAAATAATATTTAAAATATAATTAAAATATTATTGAAATATTATTAAAATATATTTAAAATATACTTAATTATATTCATGATAATCTACTTAAAATATTATTATTTTATAATTAAAATATATTTAAACATATAAAAATTCAAGTAAATTTACATATATTTTTTGCATTGCTAAAATGTATAAATTACATGATCAATATTATCTTGATTTGAATTAAAAGTAAATCTTGCTGGAATAGATCTAATCTGTAAATTTTTGTTTTATCACTAATACTTATAAAAAGTTTATATACTTTTTTAGCTTCTTTCTCTTTTACAATGCATCATCATTAAGTTTTGATTTCAGAATTTCTTTTTTAACTTGATAATACTTCTATATAAGAGAATTGTAAAAAATAATTTTGGTAAATTATATGACATTTATCGAGATGCTATATAAGTATTTTATACTTAATTCATTTGAGAATAGATTAATAAAATGAATAAATAGATAATTGAGCATTGTCACATTTACTTCTTCGAAGTTTACACAAAATTCGTCTCTGTCAAATATTCGTATATCTACTAATCAGAAATGAAATTAATATAAGATTATTTGATATCTGCGCCATTTATATTGTGATCTCTAGTAAGGTATTAAAACATTCAAAATACTGTTCCAAAATAAATTATTCTTTCATGATATTTAATATTTCTATTTTTGTGTTTCTACAAGTTTGGCTTCCATAGTTATTTTATACAATTAATTATATGTGAAATACAAAAGAAAATGAAAGGTTTACAGATACCATAAAATTTATCTTATTTTATAATACATCGTGTCTGTTCCATATTTGATTGAGGTTAGTTGTATTTATGATATGTATATAAAATAAAACTTAATAAATAAATTGAGATATGATATATAAAAAATAAAAACTGAAACCATACTCTCGCCACCATATGGTTGAGCGAAATATGTGGCTTACCTTTGTGCGTGAATGGTTTACCACCATATAGCTAAACAAGATCATTTTACACACACCTCTGCTGGTCTAATCAACATAAGTTTAAACCAGCCAGCAGTTAAATACGAAGAAAAGGTCACATCCATATAACAAATGATGGTCTTTCCTTCGTACTTCCAGTACGTTTACCATTCATATGAACTACATGAGCATATGGAAAATTGTATTGTGTTTTGATCATTTATTATATAGTCTGAATATTTCTTTAATAAAAAATATTTTGTATTCAGAGTTTTTTGTATTATTTGTTAAAAATATTTACCAATCAAACTACATTATTTTGATCACATAGATAATCTTTACCAATAAGGGTCTAGGCATAGGGAAAGTCTAGATTTTAATCTACACATTACACAATTATTTATATGCATTTTACAATTAAGATCAATTAAATAATGATTGCTCATATATTAAGTTACAAAATGGCTAAATGAAACTTTGCAAATATATTCTTTGAAACTTGTTCGTTATGTTCACTAGCCTGATTCGATTTGATTCAATTTATCAAAAAATTTACTTAGAAGTACTTTTTATAACAATAGACTATATAGGCTATATAAAAAACTATTTCCATTGTAAGTAAAGTTTAATTTTTAATATTTTTAATGTTTTAAAGTATAGAATAAAACGAAACTATACATTTTTTAACTCTATTATTATTTATTATTATTATTATTATTACTATTTATTATTTATTATTATTATTATTATTTATTATTTATTATTATTAATATTGAAATACTTGATATAGATATAATAAAAATATACTTACTATATTAAATTTACTTTTGTTAAAATCAAGTGCTTATATTACCATGCATTAACATAATTAAGTGACCTTAAATTTTTCATGTACTTCTTGACTTTCATTTATTTCAATTTCTTCTATTATTTCATTTTTCTCTTTCTTCAGAAGTAAGAATATTTGATTCCTTTTTTAATCTTTTTAAAAATGATTTTACATTACTGTAAATTCCCCTTTTATAATATTCTTCACAATAATGACAACCATATTCAAGTATTTAATAACATTCGTAGTAATATCCATATCCACAAGTTAATACTTCACTATTATCAAGTTTTTTGTAACAGTGATTACAAGTATCTAGTGATAAGGGTATATTAGTACTAAATCCAGTGGGGAGACATCAAGAATCAACAGTAATGCCTTCTATTTTTGTTTTGTTTTGTGTAATTTACTTTTTTCAGAATTTTTAAAAATTTCTTGAAAATATTCTAACAAAAAATAGAGATGTTTTTTCTGTAAAAAGGTTTAAAGATAATAGTTTATAAGAATATGTTTTTGTTCTTTCAAAAATGTTTTTAATTTCACATTGGTTTTGTTCATTTAATAAAATATAAAAATTAAATATTTATTATATTATAATTGATAATTATAAATAATTTTATAATGATGCCTATTACAAAAACTTGTTTTATAATATTATTTACATTATTATTTGTATTTGTATATGTTCATATCTTACTGTGATAATTTTAATATAATAATCATTGAAATTTACTAAAAATAATTTTACAACTTCTATAAATGGATGATTTATATTCTTCCAATAAAAAATATCTAGAGGGGATGCTAGAGATACTTTATTATAATTATGTCTTTTTCAGTGAAGGACAAAAGTTCAAATTCGAAAAATAGTTTCTACATATTCATTAAATGAACCAGATCTAAATAAAATAGCATAAATATTCAAAGTTACTAGAATAATATTATCTAATAAATTTAAAACCATTTGATATTCAATGTCTTTACAGATATTTTCAAATTTTGTTAAAATTGTTTCTCTTATTTTACACCATCCATTATAGGCCAAATCAAGAAGCAAATTTATACATCAAGGCTTTGGTTTTTTTGCTAATATCTTTTTTTTTCCAAATACAAAATGGAATAATTTTTTAAAAAAAATATAATATATAATTAAAATATGTTCTCTACTATTGAGAGAAACATGAAGAGGATCCAAAATTGGAATAAATGAATTAATTCTGGAAGGTATTGAATATTGTGAATTATCTTTATATTGATTTTTACCACTATTACAATTACAATTATAATCAAGAACATTTTAAAATTAAATTCAATGTTTTTTATTTTTTGATCAAAAAATCTTGCTAAAAAAGATTATACTGGACAAGTGTTTTAAAAATCTTTAAACATAATGAATACAATTTTATTATTTAAAAAACTGTTTAAATCTGAAATCCACATTACATTTCAATTTATACAAATCAAATACAAAATAATAGATGACTAGAATAGAAAAGAATAGGATGGTTGATTTGTTTGATTTTTAGTTTTTATATACTTAGGAATTCTGATTTCTGGTGATTTTAGCTAAAAGATTAGGTCTGTTCTATATTCTATGTTAATTATAGGTTTTATTAAAGTTAATATATAGATTCAGAGTATAAATACAATGTTTATTTAATAAATAATAACTATGCATTTTGGAATCTATTCAGATCCTTAATTGTAATTAGATCAACAAAGATTTATGATTGTAAAAAAAACTTGGAACTTTATTATATTAACTATCTTTTGACCTCTAAGTGAAAGTATTCAGCACAATATTTTACATATACTCATATAAGACTTTATTAAATAAGTTAAGGTACTTTGTCCATTTAAACAAACAAATAAATAACTGTCTAATCAATTGTTCCACTACTTAACCTTTGACAACTTATTTTATTTATTTCTTCCAATAGTTGTTTTATTCTATTTTTTATTATTTTTGTTTGGTTAAATATTGAAGAAGAAAATTTAATAAATAGACAATGTGTATTATATATATACGTTATTAACTTCACTTATGAGCAACGGTCGTGGGATTTGTTATTTTTTAATTCTTAAAATGGACCCACATTGGTTTGTTATTTTCTTTTGTATCATATAATATTGTGTGGAACAATATATTTCTCATATATCACTTATGTGATATATTAAAATTAGTGGAGCCATATGATTATTTTTTCTCGCTCGAAAATAAATAAATAATAATAACAAAATAATAATAATCATAACAAAATAATAATAATAATAACAAAATAATAATGATATTATTATTATTATTAATGATGAGGTTCATGATGATATGCATCTAAATGAATTAATACCTCTTTAACACTTTTACATTCTTTTTTAACCGCTTCTCTAACTTTTTCTTCAATACTATGAGCATTCATAACGGTTAGATATGGTTTAACTTGTACAACCATATCGATTAAATAGAACGGTCCAGATTTACGTCCCCTTATACTATGAAAATTGACAACATTTGGCTCTTCATTCTATAAAAATAAAAATAAAAAATAATAAAATAATTAATAACATATATAAATAATATAAATAAAATAAATAATAATTATAATTTACCTGAAATTTTTGAACAGCATTATTAACACGATGAATAACATTTTCTTCCATTCCAACATCAACCAATTCTTTTAGAGAAGTAATTAAAATATTGATTCCACTTTTCATAATCATTCCCGCCACTAAAATGCCACCTATTGGATCAAGAAGTGGAAATCCGAAATAACTTCCAACAATTGAAGCTAATGCTACCAAACTTGAAGCAGCATCACTTCGATGATGCCTTTTTTTTTTTTTTTTAATATAATAATATTAATTAATTAGTAAATAAATATGTAACTATGAAGAGAGATATATATTATATCATATCTATAAATTATATGTATACCATGCGTTGGCTACTAAAACATCTGATCTTTCTTCTAATCCAATTTTTATCGCTAAATATAAATAATATAAATTGAAAAAATGAATAATTTATAAATATAAATAAAATAAATGAATAATAATAAATAATAAATATATATAAAATCAAAAAAAAAAATAAAATAGAATTACTTTTTTGATATAGAACCTCTTTCACTATTACAGAAGCCGCAGCAAACCAGGCAGCATTAGGATTTAATTGTGATGAATTCTCATGATGAACTATGGCATCAATAGTATTTTCTATAGTTTCAATAGTATTTTCTATAACTCCACCAGTAGTAATTTCATGAGGTAAAGAAGCCAAAAGGAGTTCATAAGCGTGATGACCAATTCCTAAAGCACCAAGGATTAAAAATGTCGATACTCCAAGAGAACCAATTGTTTCATATTTTCCTATTATACACATATATATTACGTATATTACGTTTAATTTACGATTTAATTTTCATTTACGCGTATTTTTTATCACGTGCGAAATTGGGAGCTTTACCGTAACCATAAGGGTGTGTTGCATCTGGAGGTTTTCTGGATTTTCGAAAAGTATATAATGTTACAAAATCGCTAGTTAAATCTATTTAAAAATTTTTAAAAATCAAATTAATTTCAAAATTAAAATCAAATCAAATTAATAATAAATTTGGAATAACAAGAAATAACCAAACCACTTAAAGAGTGTCCTGCATCAGCTAATAATGATGCAGAATTCATCACCCTTTAAAAAATAATAAAAATCAAGAAATTTTTTAAAAAATAATAATAAATAAATTAAATTAAAAATAAAAATAAAAATAAAATAAAAATAAAAATAAAAAACGATACATACCACCCAGCTATACCTTTTACTATAGCTAATCCTACATTAAAATATAATCCCAATAATGTTATTTTGGTTCCTCGACTTTCTTAATGTTTAAAAAAAAAAAAAAAAGAATCATTGTTAAACTAATTTTTTATAAATTTAATAATAAATTAATAAGTGAATAATTGTAATATTAAAAATTAATTTATTTATTTACTTGATCCAGTAAACAACAGTGATGTTAATTCAGAATGAGAATGATCTTGATGATGATGATGATGGTCAACATGAAAATTATGAGAAGAATTACGAGAATTATGCAACCTTTTTGGATAAATTTGTATTTCTTTCACCAAATTTATTATACGTGCTATTTTTAATATATTTTTTGTGGTTCTCGTAGTTATAAGATTACAATCTTGATAATTTTGATAATTGCAATGATAACTTTGATAATTGTGATAATGAAATGATTTATAATTTGAATATAATAAAAAACGTGTCGACTGAGACGAAGACGTTGAAGAAATATTAGTAATAATACGATTGAAAAGTAATTTGGTTTTTTGAGGAATCATTTTTATCACTTATAGAAATAATATTCCTTTTCGAAAATACTTAAACGAAAAAGTTAATACTGTTGAATTGTAGTCGGAGAAGAAAATTAACGGACACAATGTATTTATAAAGAATTCGGTATCAACTACGTAATTTGTTATTTAATTTTACACTACTAGTTCATATTAAGTTATTCATTACTGCTATTTTGTTATATTCATTATATTAAAAATAGAATTTTAAACGCGTATTTATTATTATTATTATTATTATTATTATAATTCTATTCTTGCTTCGTCCATTCAGTACTGTTGATAGAAACCGATGTAGAGCTGGTTGAATTTCTGTAATTTATACCAAATTAATTAAACATTAAAAATAAGTGACCAAGTTATTCATTCATTATATTATATAAATTATATTCTCACATGATACGTTACACAGGATAAAAAGATTTTTTTACATTCCTCTTAATTTTTATAATTATATATATTATGTCTCAACCTTTTGAATTTCCATCTATTCATAATTTTTCACCCCTCTATACGTAAGTTCAAAATTATATTTTTCATTTTTGTTTTATTTTTACTTCTCAAAAAGAAATATCGAAAAGAAGGAAATTTTGTTTATAAGAAGAAAGAAAGAATAACATTTATATCTTGATTATTTATTTTATCTTAATTTTATATTAATTTAATGGTATTTAATTTAATGTTATTTTAATTAATGTTAATTAATTTTTATCTCTATTTAAATTGTAGTCAACAAGTCACACAATCAACTTTGCAAAATCAAATTTCACTTTGGTCAGAAATAATTTTATCATATTTTAGACATCATAAATTATATCGTCTTGAATTATCTGAAGATTTAAATAAAGAATTATTTAATAATCAAGGGATAAAACGTATGTGTAGGTTATTCGATTATTATCATCTCCATCATCATTATTCATTATCATCATTATCATCATTATCTATCATCATCATCATCATTATTATTATCTATTATTATTCATCATCATCATCATCATTATCTCATCATTTCTGATGGATTTCAAAATAGGAAGATTAAAGCTTGAAACATTACAAATTATAATTGATCATATGGTTAAACAAGGTGTATATTAAATTTTATTATTAATTTAATTATTAATTTGATTATTAATTATTATTAGATTATTAAATAATAATATTATTAGGAACCGCAGAATGGGATTCACCACTTTCCAATAGAAATGTGGCACTTATTTATTGGAGAAAACCCGAAGAATGGGCATCATTAATTGATAAATGGGTTTTTATTATTATAATTTATTGATTATTATAATTTATTGATTATTTAATATATTGATTATTAATTATTTCTTTAAATAATTTATATAATAAATAATTTACATAATAATCATTTACATAATAATTTATTTTATTAATAATTTATATAATATCATAAATAGGTATTTGATTGTGGATTAAATAATTCTATAGTAACAATATATGAAATTTTACATGGAGAATCTAGTGAAGGGATGGGTATGTGTAATATATTCTAATCATTCATTATTCATTTATTATTTATTTATTTATTATTTATTAATTTATTATTTATTCATTTATTTATATTATATTATTTTCTTTCCTTTTCTTTTAAAGAATTTCATGATTTGAATCAAACAATTCTATTAAAAGCATTAGACATATTAGTAAAACGAGGAGCTGCACAATTACTTCAAGGATCAAGTGCTGATGATTTAGGTGTAAAATTTTTTGGAATTAATGGTTAAATTATAATAATTATAACTGATAATAATAATAACTGATGATAATAACAAATAATAATATAAAAAAGAAAATATTAATTAACAAATAATTTATTTAATTTAAAATATAATTGTAAATATAATTATTTGTTTTACTATTAATCCAATATATTCTAATTCTAATATATTCTTCTGGAGTTGTTACTATTCATCTTCATCATCTTTGAATTGGTAATGGAAAATTGAATAATTATATCATTTTCTTATTATTGATCAACACAAGTCAAATAAGAAAAATTGGGTAAATTTTATCATCGTTCTGAGATGAAATATTTTGTGACGCCGATCACATACTATGATTGGGCGTTGCTTGTTAGCTGATCCTTCTCTATATAATAACTGTTAGTGAAATAATTCACCCTCAGTGAAAACTTAAAGCCATCGATCATAAAGGGTACCAAATTTAGTTGTTAAGCAATTAATAGTAATCATCCATAAATTTAGCCTAATAATAGATATCACTGGGAAAGAAAATTTTTGATATGGAGATTATAGATCATTTGCAAATAGGCAAATAGACAAGGAGATTTGCAAATAGCACAGGGCCAAATACAAAAGAATTGCCGTACCGAAAAGGAATTCCGATTTTAGCTGATTTATAATATAGGATGCAATAGGACGGTCGATTTTTACCGATTTTTAGCTGATCTATAATATAGGAATTACCAATTCTTTTGTATTTGACTAGTGTAGGTAAAGCCAATTTGTGTACTAGTATAATTATTAATGTTTTTAATTTATATATTTATTTATTTATTATTTTGTTTATTTACGTTTAGATTTGGTTATATGCTAATAATTAGATTACTAATTCAAATTACTTATTCCAATTATCAATTTGCTAATTGTATGTTATATGTAATTTATTAGAAATTCTTTATTTGCTAATTCTTGGTTCAGGAAAGATTGATTAATTCTTATAAATAGAAGAGAAATCATTTAAATGTAAAGAGGATAAACTTTGGTCACAATTCTGGCACTATATAGAAATTAACAAATAATAAAAGTATTACAGTGCAGGACACTTAAAGACGCCAATCACGTGACTTGTCCCATTTTGACCTCAAAATTAAATAAAATTTAATCAGCCAAAAATCGATTTTTGCTACTTTTCCAAAAAGAAAAGCCACGTGATTATCGTTTCATCGTATCGAAATCAAAATTATTAATCGTAATTTTTAATTAATTATTTAATGTATCGAAATCATTTTGATTTAATATTACTGTATACTTTTTCTTCTATAAATAAAGTCAATTTATTTTGTGGTATCCGCCTATTTGATTTAAATTTTTTGCATGCGTATTCTGCTAATTTTCCTGTCAAGCCTGCACGGTACAATTCCATATATCGCCATGATTTTTGAGCAAACCTTCTAATTGTAGTTATATCTACTGAACCAAGTGCTCGTGAAACAGTTTAATAAAATTAAGTTCGCAATGGAACTTTGGATAAAAAATACACAAATGATCGGCATTCTCAATTAATTCCACAATAGCTGACTTTTGAGCAACAAAATCTTGCAGAGAGGCCATAATTCTTCTTAGACAGCAACTTAATTGTAAAGGATCCTCCACCAAATTATTATTCTTACATATTTAACAATTTAAATTCAATTTATCTTTCCAAAGTTCTCTCTCTTTCAATACTCTCTTTATTCCTTTTAGTTTTCCTTGCATGGTTGGATCAGGGTAATCATTTTCAAATACCATTTGCTGAGTTTTCCATTGTCTGTTGGTATCAATAAAAGTGGTTGATCGCATTATTGGTTGTTTTCTTTTCAGTCCCAGGTTCATTCTTGCTGCCACAAGAGTATCCTTTACATATGCTACATGATTTGTGCTGTTATCGAAGGCAAAAACAACTGTTGCATTGGGGAACTTCATTTTAAAAATAGGAATTACTTTATTTTTGATTTGTTCTAGCAAATGCTCAATTGTCTAATAACCTTCTTGGTTTTTCCCAGGCATAAAATAACAACATGCTTCTATTGAAATATTTGAATGAATTATTACCTCTTCTTCACTTAATCATAGTTGACTACATGCTTCTGAAAGAAATTCACTAACCATAATGGATCTTCCATTATCTTTTTTTCGCAATGGCATTTCTCTGTCTTGTATCCAAATTCCTCTTTTTCTATTATTTGAATAAAAATACTCTCATCATGAGTAACAAGAATTAATTCTCATTCATATTCTTTAAGTGTTGGTGGAATTGGAACCATTTCTAATCCTTCATATATGATCATTTGTTGTTTCAAATTTTTTATTTTATTTAAAAATTTATTTTGATATGTAATGACATCCTTTTGTTTATGCCTATCAAAATATATTTCTTTTCAGTATTCTTCAAATTTACATCCCAAAATATTCAACCATCTTCTTGCTATTCATAAGCTAATTGATTTTTTAGTTTCTCCTAAACACTTCAGCAAGATCTATTGTTGACATTTCAACATAATGTCTTCATCATCAACAAGTCATTTATATTTTTGGACAAAATCTAAACTATACTTGAAGCCTCCTGACTTGCATTAATCTTGTCATGACCATTATTTAACTGAATAAAATACTCATAGACAGCCTGTCATTCATTATATTTTAAAGCTATAAATATCTGTCTATTTTTTAGAAGTTCTTCTTGAAGTTGAACAATTATTTCACAAAATGCAATAGGCACAGGTCAAAATCTGTATTTCAGGTACCTATTGAATACTTATTGGAGACTTATTGGAGTTTCCTGATAGATTATTGATTATACTTGCACACAAAATTATTTTTGAATTCTGAAATTACAATTTTGAGAAAAAAAGTCAAAATAGTTTTTCATAGAAGACAAAATTATTTTACTTAAAACCTGAAATTTTTTAACCACCCAGATTTATTTTTTGATTAAAGATATATATAACTGAATACTTTTTTTACTTCTATATATAGAATAGATTCTATATAAATCTCAAAAGTTGAAATACCTCAAAAATTCAAAATCAATTTTGAAAACATGTTTATTATTGATAGGTATAAATAAATACTAGTTAAGAAGATATCAATCATTTATAAAAAATTGAGTGTCCAATATATTAAAGTATCCAATATTTTTTTAAATCAAATTTTTTATATTCCCAATAGGTGTATTAAATATTACTGATATATATTAAATATCTGATTTTTGTAATAAATATTAACTACCCAATATTTATTTATAACTATTAGGTACACCATATTTATTTTACAACTATTGGATTACTGATATGTGTAAATAATATTAGATATCCAATATACATTTTAGCATATCATATTTTTAACCTTTATTTATGCTTATCAAAAATACAATATTGAATTTCTTATGTTCAAATATAATATTTACTTCTCAAATCAAGTTCAAATCAAGTTTTTATTAGGACTTAGAACCGGGTTTATATAATCCGGTTTCACCCGAATACTGCAGGTGACCCAGTTGAAACTTTCGAAACCAGATCATCCATGTAATATTTTATATTTATTATAATTTGATCCGGTTTATACTTCAAACCGGATGAAACTGGATGAAATCGGGTGAAAAAAATTTTAGGAAATCATCTGGGTTCATCCGGATATCTGATTTTAAGGTCATTTGGATATCCGGATGACTTATTGGGACGCGGTTCCAAGCTCTAGTTTTTATAAATGTTAAGAAATTATTTAAAACAATAAAAATATAAGATATAATATGCTATACTTTATTATTTATATGAAAATAATATATATAATATAAATAAAATAAATAATTAAATAAATTAAATAATAAATCTTCTATTCAATGAAATTATTGACATATAATTATCACTTTTTTTCCACTTGATAATTTATCTTAATTGCTTGACCATATATTCTATGTACTGTTATAATTGAATCTTGACCTTTCTCACACTGGTCAAAATCTGGCATATCATGCACTTATCATGCACCAATCATGGTGCCCGATAGGTACCCGATATACATCT